GCCAAAACGGGTTGAGCCAGAAATGCTGGATAACGAAACTGCGACGGTAAGGAGGACGAGGAGGAGAATGAGGAGGACGGGAAGGAAACCAAGGCCGACGACGACGACGAGGACGAGAAGAAGGGAGGACCAGGGGGGGGAGAAAGAGGAGAAAGAGAAGCCTTTTTCGTCCAATCATCCCATCCCGTCATCGTTCCCTTCCAGTGCCCTCACATCGCATCGCATCCCCCCCGCACTATCCTCCCTCCTCGCTCGTTTCATCTTCCCACACCGCATTCCCACCCACCTCCTCCTTCTCCTCCTCCTCGACGTATGTCTCTACAGTCTCCCACCCCACCCCAATCCAGAAAAAGGAACAGAAGCAGCAACAAGAAAAGAAGACCTTGAATGGTGGTTGGTGGTTGCCCGTTTTCAAGGTAAGGACGGCAAGGGCAGACCAAGCATGGCTGCTCACGCCCCGAAGGACCCCCCCTATCGGAAACCGCTGCGCGCCATTGGAGCAGCGAGTGTTAGCGCACGCAAGGGAGCATGGTGGCTTATGCACCAGATGTTTGTTCACGCATGGGAACAGACACCAGCTCCCAACTCGGGCACGCCGCGGAAGACGCGCCGCTCCGCCACCAGTGTCTCGGCTCCCGCCAGCTGCCCCGCCGCCTGGCCTTGCAGAACTCGCCGCTGCCGTGCAGAGGCGGCGGCCAAGGCTCTGGCTTCGCCGCGGGCACGCTGCGCAGGAGGAAGAGGAGGAAGGAGGAGGAGGAGGAGGAGGAGGAGGAGGAGGAGGAGGAGGAGGAGGACGAGGAGGAGGAGGCGGAAGAGGAGGAGGAGGACGAGGAGGCGGAGGAGGAAGAGGAGGAGGAGGAGGAGGAGGAGGAGGAAGAAAGCCAAGGAGGCGGAGGAGGAAGAGGAGGAGGATCGAGGAACAAAGAATGGCTGAGCCTTCTACTTTCGGAGGCCCGCGCGGATGTTTTGGATCGATGCGCGGATGTTTAAAGAGCAGGAAGAAGAGGAATAGGAGGAGAAGGAGGAAGGAGGACGAGGAGGAGGAGGAGGAGGAGGAGAAAGAGGAGGAACAAGAAGAGGAGAAAGAGAAGGAGAAAGAGGAGGAGGAGGAGGAGGAGGAGGAGGAGGAGGAGGAGGAGAAGGAGAAGGAGCCAGCGTTGCACCAGCTTGCCCGGGGGCACAGCCTCGCTGGCCGCGCGAACTCTCGCACGAACCCCTCGCAGCGATGGCCCATCGATGGCCCCTCGCTGACGCCGCCTGCGCCGCTCGCCGGAGGGAGGTGCAGGGCCGCGTGGTACTCCAGAGCCCCGCGAGCGAGCTCGGGCAGAGCCGGGGCCTGTCTTGCTGCTGCTGCTGCTGCTGCTGCTGCTGCTGCTGCTGCTGCTGCTGCTGCTGCTGCTGCATCGTCGTCGTCATCGTTCCTGTTTTGAGCAGACATACGGTCGGGAATTTTTGCATAGCGTGTCGGCGCGAAGGCCCAGCGGCACGCTATGCCCGGCGGGCGGATAGGCATGTCGCTCCGCTCCGCGGGGCTGGATGCTCGGTAACGGAGCGACACGCTAAGCCGAAGTTCATGGCCGCACCTCCTTCTTTTGCCTGTTGCCCCAGGCTGGCCTCGGCACCTCGTCGCGCCCGCGCCAGGCGTCGACGAGCTGCCGTGGAGCCCTCGGCCGTGCTCCCTGGAACGTCAGGCGCGGGCTCGGGGATACCTCCAGGAGGCGGAGGAGGAGGAAGAGGAGGAGATGAAGGAGGCCGAGCGCCCCCAGGGTGGAGGAGGAGGATGAGGAGGAGGAGGAGGAGGAGGAGGAGGAGGAGCAGGAGGAGAAGGGGGAGGAGGAGGAAAAGGGAGGAGAGGAGGAGGAGGAGGAGGAGGAGGAGAGGAGGAGAGGAGGAGGAGGGAGGGAGGAGGAGGCACAGCGTTGGATGCCTGTCTATCCCCGCCTGCCGCCCGATTAAAGCGGCTCCGAGCGTGATTCGACGACGACCTGGCGGAGGGCGGATGCCTCCAACAGAGATCGCTGTCGGCCTCGGAGCGGCAACCTGAGCGCCACGCGGACCGCAGCTGTTAAGGCCGCGGCTTCTTGATATTCAAGGGGGCGGGCCGAGAGTCTTGGCTCTCTGGGCCGCGAGACGGAAGACATGATACAGAGCTAAAGGGAAAGCGAAGTGAGAGCGAAGACCGAGGCGGACGATCAGGGAAGAGGGAAGGTCGGAACGAAGGGCGATGGCCGCATGATGGTGCAACCGCATGCAGTGGCAGAAATAATGCGAGAGCGAGGCCGACGCGACATCAGGACAGCCGAAGATGCACCCCTGGAGCCGCTGCATTCTGTGCCCGGTGACCCAAGCTCCGACCCACGTGCGAATGCGCACGGAAGCCCAGCTCGGTGGGACTCGGGCCAGGGCAGCCTGCACCTCCCCCTACTCGACGACACCGGCCTCTAACGACGGGACGAACCACTTCCGAATGCGGCGCTCAAACAAAGGGATCAGCGGCAACGCGAAGACCTCACTCATGAGAGCTGCGGTGAAAACCCGCTGCCCGTGGGGGCGGCGATCCTGGGTGCCCGCTCGAAACGCCTCCACCGCCCTCCGCCCACCCGCTCTGAGTCGGACATCTTCAGGAAACCCCCGGGCAGCGTCCCTCAAGTTTAAAACTATGGGTCGAGATTTCCAAAAGTTGGGGGCGAGCTTGGGGCTCCTCCAGAGGGCCAGCCCACACCGACGCTGGATCTCGCTTTCGAGACGGGTGAGAGCCTCTCGCCAGCGCGGGAGAGTGACGAGCGCAGTCCTCATCAGTGCGGCCGCCGAGGAGGCATACAGAGAGCGGATGCGTGGCCCAGCAAACTCCCCTAAGTTGAACCAGTCGCTATAGCGAAGCGCTGAGACGGGCATCTTAAAGAGCTGGGCAAGCAGCGTTCTTTCAATTCCCGCCGCTTTCCATGACAGCGGGAAGAGCTGAGCCACATAGGAGGTGACGGGGAGAGCTCGCGAGAGGTAGAGGGAGACGCCTGTGGCCAAATCGCTCCTGCAGTCGGCAATGCAGCGAGTACGATGGACAAGCTTAGCCATGGGGTCGAACCAATTTTTCTCCGCGTCCGCTCCAGGCCCGATCCAGCAGCCAAGGTATAACACGGCTGCACAAATCTTAAAGTTCGCCCAAGCCGCATCGGCCGAGACGAGAAGCGAGCGAATAACCTCGCGCAGCGGGGCGTCCAACTCCGCCGCAAGGGGGACTGCAAAACATTTCGTGGCTTTCAATACGAGCCCTGCCAGGGCGGCCGCATTCCGAAAGCCCTTGAGGGCCAGGACGACCGCGGCAATATCGTCCGCGCAAGCCCGAACGTGGCCGTGCCCTGGGCTTTGGACGGTGTTGTACATGTCCCATAGGAACGGGTTGGCCGAAATTACAAACTGCCGCTCAGAGGGCACCCTTGGAGGACGCCAGAGTGCATGTAGAACAGAGGGACCAGCCGGCCCTGGCACTGGTACAGGCAAGGATTTAAAACGTAAAACCCTTGGACCAGCCTCTTACAGCCCCGGGGAAGTTTGATGAAATCGACCGCCAACCTCAGCCAGCACTGGCTCACGGACGGGAAAGCCTGGGAAAAGTCGAACGTGAGCAGAGTGGCCCCTGGACGCCCGAGGCAGCTGGCCAGCCTCGCGTAACAATCCAGCTCGTAAATGTTATTCAAAAAGTTTCGGCCTCGAATGAAACCGTTCTGGATCGGGGCGCCAATCCGCTGAACCACTTCTGACAGGACAACGTTCGCCATCGCTGCAACGGCTTTGTTGGACGCATTCTTCAAACCGATGGGGCGCGTTTCTTCTGCATTCCGGAACACCTGGGAGCCAGAGGGGTCGTCCTCCGCGAGGACGCCTTTGGGAATGAACACCTGGACAGAAGCAAAAAACGAGACGGGCATGGGAAGCCCTTGCCAGAGCCAAAAGAAGGCTTTCATCAGGACCTCGGGGCCACGCCCGCTGAGCCACGCACGGTATGCCAAGCCGTCGGGCCCTGGCTCCGTGACAGAGGCACGCCTCAGAAAGCGTCGGAGACGAGAGAGCGAGGGGGGAGGGAGATCAGAGAAGTCGGGAAACTGGGAAGAGAAACGCTCGATGTATCGAGGGGCCCAGGGAGGGACCTGATGGCGCTTCTCGAAAATCAGGCCCCAATAAGCTCGAAGCGCTTCAGTCTGGGCCTCAGCAGATATGGCGCACTCCTCCTCCACCCCGTCCGACCCCAAGACTCCCGCCAAGTACCTCCGGCGATTAAATGGTGACCAGAGACGCGCGCGTCGAGCCATGGCGCGGAGTTGGCCACGAACACGCGTCCAAGACAGGGCCCCTCCAGCCGATCGCTCTTGCCTCTGCAACGCAGCTAGCGCCGCCTGGCAGGCGGAGGAGGAGGAGAAGGAGGAGGAGGAGGAGGAGGAGAAGAAAGAGCAGGAGGAGGAGGGGGAGGAGGAGGAGGAAAAGTGGGGGGAGGCGGGGGGGAATGCGGGTCAGTGGGCTGGCCTGAAAAATCACGCTCAGCTCGATTTTCTGCCCCTGGCGGCGGGGCAGAACGCGGGTCGTCCTCCGCCTCCCCTGCTCCCGCCAGCCCATTCCCCGTGGGCCCTCATCCCCCTTCTTCCCCCGCCCACCCATCCGCCCCTTCTTCCCTCCTCCTCTCGCTTCCTCCTCCTCCTCCTCCTCCTCCTCCTCCTCCTCCTCCTCCTCCTCCTCCTCCTTAATCTCCTCCTCCTCCTTCTCCTCCTCCTTCTTCTTCTCCTCCTCCTCCTCCACCTTGTCATCCTGGCTTGTACTACTGGTCCTACTCTGTTAACTGGAGACAGGAGACCGCGTGCGCAGCATCGCGGCAAAGTCGCCCCGGTCCTCCTCCTCCTCCTCCTCCTCCTCCTCCTCCTCCTCCTCCTCCTCCTCCTCTCCCCCTCCTCCTTCTCCTCCTCCTCCTCCTTCTCCTCCTTTTCCCTCTTCCTCCCCCTCCTCCTCCTCCTCCTCCTCCTCCTCCTCCTCCTCCTCCTCCTCCTCCTCCTCCTCCTCACTCATCCTCATCCTCATCCTCATCCTCATCCTCATCCTCATCATCATCAGCATCATCATCAGCAGCAGCATCATCATCAGCATCATCATCCTCATCATCAGCATCATCATCATCAACAGCAGCAACATCATCATCAGCATCATCATCAGCATCATCAGCAGCATCAGCAGCATCAGCATCAGCATCATCACAATCAACAGCATCATCATCAACATACTCAACAGCATCATCATCATCATCATCATCATCATCATCATCATCATCATCATCATCATCATCATCAGCATCATCATCATAATCATCATCGTCATCATCATCATAATCAGCATCAGCATCAGCATCAGCATCAGCATCCGCATCAGCATCAGCATCAGCAGCAGCAGCATAATCATCAGCATCCTCGTTATACTCATCATCACCAGCAGCATCAGCAGCAGCATGAGTATCAGCATCATCATCATCCTCATCATCATCATCATCATCATCATCAGCAGCATCATCATTATCATCAGCATCGGCAGCAGCATCAGCATCATTATCATCAGCAGCATCATCATCAGCATCATCATCAACATCAACAGCAACAGCATCATCATCATCATCATCATAATCATCATCATCATCATCATCAGCATCAGCATTATCATCATCGTCATCGTCATCGTCATCATCATCGTCATCAGCATCATCGGCATCGGCATCGGCATCGACATCGTCATCATCATCGTCAACATCCTCATCCTCTTCCTCATCATCTCCCTCCCCCTCCCCCTCCCCCATCCCTCCCCTCCGCCTCCCCCTCCGCCATCACCTTCATGCCCCCTGCTGCTCCCTCCCGGTCAACAGTCCCGTCCGTCGCGCCGCCCGCACCTCTGCCTCCCAGGCAGCGCCACCCGCCAGAGGCCGTTTCGTCTATTCCTCTTGTCTTGCTCTTCTCCTCCTCTCTTCATCCTCCTCCCTCTTCCTCCTCCTCCTCCTCCTCTTCTGCCTCGTTGTCAATCCTCTTCTCCATTTCTCCTCCTCCTCTTCTCCTCCTCTTCTCATCCTCTCCTCCTCCTCCTCCTCCTCCTCCTCCTCCTCCTCCTCCTCCTCCGCCTCCTCCTCCCTACTCCTCCTCCTCCTCCTCCTCCGCCTCCTCCTCCTCTTCCACCATGTCCTGCTCATCGTTCATGTCATGCTCGTTTTCCTCCACCTCTGCTTCCCTGCGTTAGGAAGTCCGCTCCCACCAACCTCCTTCCCACGCAGTCCGTCCGTCCTTCTCCCTTGTGCTCGGGACGCGGGAGCAAAAGAGGACCAGGGGCGGCATGCGGGGAGCGGAAAGGGAGGGGGCGACGGGGGGACTGGGAGGGCCGATGGGGAGAGGCTGACAGCGAGGAGGACGAGAGACGCTGTGGAAGACACGGAGTCGAGTAGACAAGGACATGGCCGGGGCAGGGCTGAGGCATGGTTGCCGAGGGCAGGGCACGGCCAGGATCGGGGGCGGGCAGGTCTGGCCCCGGGGCGCAGTGCAGGGGTTCGGAGCGAGGTGGTGATCAGGGCCACGAGGATCGGAGGGACCCTAAGACTCGGGCTGGCCTCAGGGGGGCATCATGAAGATGACGAGACCCCATCTGAGACTTGACGCGAGCTACCGCTGCAAGCGTGCCACGGAACAGGACCGTCAAAACCCAGGACGCGCTCGTCAAAAAGCTTCGGCAAACCCGAATTCAGGCTTACTCGAGTCCTCCGCTTCCCCAAGAATAGGATTTGGATCGAGTCAGGCAGGGCAGGTAGGGTGAGCGCGGCCGGGGTGATGCAGGGTAAGGTCGGGCGGGGACAATGCAGGGCAGGGTGGCTGGCAGGAACGGGCCAGGTAGAGTTGCCTCTGGGCAGGACAGGGCAATGGTACCACTGAGGTGGAGCGTCGATGTAGGGACAGGCTGGGGAAAGGTAAGCATACTGGATCAAGTACCCAACTGAAGCGCCATAGGCTGTCTCAAAATGGCACCCGAAACTCGGCATAGGGCGCGGTCACCATTCGATGAACAGCCATTGGCAAACAACACAGGCGCCATAGGTACGCCACGCTCGCGAGGCGCGTCGCGCGCACCAGCCGTGACGCGCACACCATGTGCACCAGGTCAAGCGCACCGGGCGCACTCGCCCAAGGCGCATGATGCGCCATGCTGGGCTCCTCCTCCTCCTCCGCCTCCTCCTCCTCCGCCTCCTCCTCCTCCTCCTCCGCCTCCTCCTCCTCCTCCTCCGCCTCCTCCTCCGCCTCCTCCTCCGCTTCCTCCTCCGCTTCCTCCTCCGCCTCCTCCTCTCCTCCTTACCAAGTGTGTTCCGTGCTCCAGGAGCGCCAGGTGCGCCAGTGCACGTGACAGCACACACACCAGGCAACATGATGTGTCGATGCCCCCGCCATTCCAGCCCCAAGATACAATGCACAGCGTCGGCGGGGTTAATCGGCATGGTGTGTGGCGTATGCACCCACTGTCACTTCTGCAGTGATGGTGGGCCAGCGCATAACTTGAAAATATGACCCAAAACCCCACCACCCCTGTCAAAAACTGATGCGCATGACGGAGGGTGCCCGCACATGGTGTAGTGCCCCCAAACCCATGACGCTGTGATTGTGCTCACAGCACGGACCCCCGGTGGTCTCATTCCATTCCCTGGTACAGGCTTTTTCATCCTGAGTGGTTCTTTGACGGCCCCGAGGCCCGGCGAGGGCCCCTGGGCTGGAAAACAGCGCAACACCTTCCAGCCTTTCGTCTCGAAGCGCGAGGGTGTCTGGGCTTGCCGCAGCGTGCCCGCCCTTTGCATGGCTCTTGACTCGGATGGTGGGGGGGGGTCTGTCGTGGACCCCGGTCGGCGGCTACGCTCGAGTGCGTACCAGTCGCGCGCAGTGGCAGACCCCAATTCCCCGAGGAGGGGAGGAGGAGTCCGCCCTCGGCATGGGCAGCGGCCGCCATCAAGTGGACCGCCAGCGGCAGCCAATGTGGAGGCCACGCGCACCAGGTGCCCGTCTGCTCCCCTTCTCTGCCCGTGCTCCCCCGCCCCCTCCGCCTCACCCCTATCGCATGCTACTCCTGCCGCCTCATCGTGTCCCACCGCATCCTCGATTCACGCTCTCCTCCTCCTCCTCCCTCCTCCGCCCACGCCTGCTCCTCGTCCTACTCAGGCTATTCCTCCTGATCATGCTCCTGCACCTGATCACGTTCTTCCTCCGACATCTGCTTCTTCTCGTCGAACCTTCCTAATCCTCATCCTCACCGTCCTCCCACATGGGCGGACTAGGTCGAGTAGAGCGCGCGCGACCCGTTCCTTCGCAGCGGGCGTCTCTTTCCGCATCGTGCCCCTCCTCGTTCTCCTCCTAAGTCTCCTCCTCCTCCTCCTCCTCCTCCTCGTCCTCCTCCTCGTTCTCCTCCTCGTCCTCCTCATCCTCCTCCTCGTGGTCCTGATTCTCCTGGGCGGCGTCACAACAGCGCTAGCCTTCCACATCACCACCGGGCTGCACGGGTGGTTCTCGTGCACCACTGCCCGGTGCTCCAGGTGCCTGTCCCGCACTACAAGTCACGGCTGGCAAACAGAAAGAGCCCTCATCCTCGAACTCCAGCTGCTCCACACAGGCCCGTCCACCAGCGCCTCCCCTCCCAGCCTCAGCCGCCCCCTTCCCCTCCCCATCCTCCCCCTTCTCCTCATCCCTCTCCTCCCTTTCCATGTTCGTTATTCCGAATTCATGATTTTTGCCCCACTCCCCGTCGACTTCCTCCACTTCTTCTCGCACCTCCTCCTCTCCCCGTCCGCCCTGCTCCACCGCCTCCTCTTCATCCTCCCACTCCTCCTCCGTCCACTCATCACCCTCATCCGCGTCATACTCGTCGCCCTCCTCGTTTCCCAATCAGCATCATAGCCATCATTGCCAGCAACACCATGATCATGGTTATTGCATCATCATCACCATCATCAGCAGCAGCAGCATCGTCATCATCAGCATCACCATCGATGTCACCATCGTCGTCATCACCATATCCATCAACATCACCATCACCACCACCACCACCACCACCACCACCATCATCATCATCATCATCATCATCATCATCATCATCATCATCATCATCATCAGCATCATCATCATCATCAGCATCATCATCACCACCAGCATCAGCATAATAATAATCATCATCCTCATCAGTATCATCATTATCATCATAATCGTCATCAGCAGCAGCATGATCATCATCCTCATCATCATCACCAGCATCATCATAATCATCATCATCATCATCATCATCATCATCATCAGCAGCATCATCCTCATCATTATCATCATTATCATTATCATCATCGTCATCAGCAACAGCATAATCATCATCCTCACCATCAGCATCATGATCATTGTCATCATCGTAACCGTCGTCATCAACATCCTCGTCATCATCATCATCATCATCATCATCATCATCATCAGAAACATCATCAGCATCATCATAGTCCTCATCTTCATCCGAATCATCATCATTACCATCATCACAACAACCACCATCATCATTTTCAAGATCACCGCCACCACCACCACCAGCATCATCATCACAATCATCAGAATCATCGTCATCAGCTGCATCATCATCAGCGGCATCATCAGCTGTCCGATCCTCATTAGCATCATCAGCGGCATCGCCACCATCATCACCATCATCAGTGTCATCATCATAGCGATTATCGACATAATAATATCAGAAACCTACTTGTATCATCTTCGTCGTCGTGGTCGTCATAGTCGTGGCCGTCGTCGTGGTCATCGTCGTCATCGCCATTAGCACAACGAGCATCACAGTCATCATCATCATCACCACCACCATCATCATCATCATCATCATCATCATCATCATCATCATCATCATCATCAGCATGATCGTCATCAGCATCAGCAGCAGCAGCGTCATCATCCCCTTCCTCTTCTCCTGCTGCCTCCTGCAGATGCAGCTGCTGCCAGTTGTCCTCCCTCCCGGCCCCTGTCAGTCACAGGGCCTCAGGTTGTTCTCCAGGCCTTGGATGTGCGCCGGGGAAGCGTCGCCGAGCTTGGCGCACGGGTGCACTTTGAACTGGCCCGCGGGACGGGGGAGCAAGCAGGGGAGGAGATGCCTGTGGCCGTCCTGGGCATTTTCGTGCGTCCCCGATGGCGTTCCAGCCTCGGACTGCACCTTCAGCAGCAGCGACCCGCCGAGAGCGCCCTGGGGGCGCCAGAGCCGTCCCCAGCAGCTGCCAGAAACCCGAGTCATGACCTGCAGACCAAGCGGAGGGAGGAGGGCGCACCATTCGCCGAATAACTGGATTCATACTTGTGGGGCCAGTGAACAATAGGTTCGCCTCGGCAGCAAGCGGTACTTGAGATGAGATGTTCCACCGGAACTATATCGCTCTCGCTGGCTATCGTAATTCCCACCGACGTCATCATGGGCCAACGTGCCCGATAGCATCGGCAACGCAGATGGGATTACAAGTCTCGCCATTCCCCGGCCTCACGAGCAGCGTTCGCGTTGCCCCCATGCCAGGAGGAGATGTCTGATACACCGCCGCCCGCTCCGCTTCTGGCCACAAGGGGGGGGCTCCAGTTCCGCACAGGCTAACATTGCTCATGACCGCTGGTGCCGCCCGCGTCGATCCCAGGGTCCAGGCGGCAGCGGCATCGATGCTGCCCGCATTGCTCCCATCCTCTACGGGACATGAGGTTTGCCACTGGCCGCACTGATCCTGCTCCTGAGGGAGAGCTGTGCAAGGACGGAGACAAACAAAAACATCAGGACGATCTTCAGCTGCGCTTGTTTTTGTTCCGCGGGGGGTCCGTCCGTCGGGGGGCCGGGAAATATGGGGGGATATGATTATGCAAATGTGTGTATATATATATATATGTTCTCGTGGCTCCCCACAAAGAAGTAACGATGCAGAGCAGAATTCATATAAAAGGATTGTTTCGTTTATGTTTAGTATTCCATTTGTCTGTACTACGGTGGGGAAATTGAATAAGGAAGCCTTGGATAAGGAATCCAGGGTCTGTAAGCCAGTGGAACTCCAGTCGCGGATTGGCAGTGGATATTAACGCCGCCCTCATCAGCTAAGGAACCCTCCAGGGTCTGAAGCCTCCCGTGCAAGTTCCTTAACCAACGCCCCCACCGTACTGCATGTGTCTTTGTGTTTCCCTCTGGTGCAGCGGAGGCGAGAGCAAGTCCACTCTGTCACGGCATGAGGTGGGCCGCGTCCGGTCTCGCGAGGCAAGAAATGGATGCAGGGCGCTTGGCCTGTGGGCTCGCTCTGAGCAGAGCTCTGGGGCCGAGACCAAGAGCTAGATAGAGAGAGATAGAGAGAGAGGGAGAGAGGAAGAAAGAGAGAGAGAGAGAGGGAGAGGTAGAGGAAGAGGAAGAGGGAGCGGAGGAGCGGAGCGGAGGGGATGGAGATGGGGGGGGGCCGCTGCCGCCGCTGCTGCCGCCCCGCCCTCGTCCCCATCACCCTCGCCGCCTTGTACTGGAGAAGCAACAAATTGCCGATACCGCTGTTCCCCAGGCCTCTTCCGGGGTGCGCTCTGACCAGAAGTTCGAGGAGACTCCAGCCGTGACGACGGCGCTCCCAAAGGGCCCACAAGCGCGAAAAGACGTTGTGGCATCGGCTCCTGGAAGCCTGGCTGCTTTTGGGTCACAATTCTCGGCGAGGCGCAGCTGATGGAGAGAATCTCGAGGCTGGAAAACCGCCGAGAACCGGCGAATATGTTACCTAGGGCGACGAGACCTATACATATCCTCTGCTCCCTGGCCACGCCCATCCTCAACCCGGCAGCGGTGCACACGCGACGCCCTCCTGGCTTGGCCAGAAGGGCGTCTACACATCTGCTGGGTTCAGGATGGGCCTGGCCAGCGAGCAGCGGATCTGTATATATATATGTATATATATATATATACTCACACACATATCTACATATCCTCGCCCTACATGTCCGACACTGAGCAGCCGAGGGCCCTCCAGGACGAGCAGCGGTGTCGGCATGCTGTTTGCGCCTCTGGTCCACCCGCCGCTGCGCTGCCGCTGCCCGAGGGCGGCAACCTGGCAGCGCCCGGGCCGGGGCCGGGCAGCCCTGGCATCGAGTCGACAAGTCGGATCGGCTATGAAGACGAATCGGGTCGGCGGAGAGTGGCAGCCGAGCCGGGAGGGGTCGACTCGGCGGAAACCCGCAGGCCAGCAAGGCCTCCACTGAGGGACCGACGTGCACAGCGGAACCCGACGCCGAATCGAACCGGCGTCGGCACCGATCAGAATCGAACCTGGACAGGCGCGTTCCACTACTCGCACATCAACTGCTCGCAAATTGCCTGGATCCGCCACGGGCGATTTACGATACATTACATAGAGGAAGACCTATACATTTCGGACGTTTGCGAGGAGGCACTTTGCGAGTAGTGGCACGCGCTCGGCGAGA